ACATTCTATGGGTTTGGACAAACATATAAGGACATGTATCCATCATTATAGTACCATACAGGATAGTTTCACTGCCCTAAAAATCCTCTGTGCTCTGGCTCTTCATCCCTCGCTCACTCCAGCACCTATAGGAGCATGGACAACGTTTTCAGTTTTGTGAGCCATGTCTCTTTTGCAACTACTCAACTCTGTCATTATAGAGTGCAAGCCTCTATAGAGTGCAAGCCTCTATAGACAATATGTAACTGAATGGGCATCTCTGTGTTCCAATAAAACTTTATTTACAAAAACTGACCCACGTGCTGTTATTTGCCCACGCCAAGACAACAGTATTGCCTTCTTCATTCCCACCATTTTTACTGGAAAGAAGTTTCTTCATAGCTTGACTTGGCATTAATGATTTGTTTTTTCTATTTTTCTTTCTGAAATCTATCCTCTTTCTGGAAGTTGAATCAATACCCAATCAAAAGTCGATATTATATGATGAAAGACAATTGCCTTTTCAGAGTATCCCTGCCTTAAGCTACATCGCCTTTCTCCACTTTAAACCTCAAGTTTTTGGTAATTCTGAAGGAAATTGCTCACTCTTCGAAATGGTGATCTCTGTTTTTCCAATCAAGAGTGGCTCCGGCTGCCTTACAGAGCAAGTCCCGCTGACGGCTGCCATGGGGACCTGCTGTTCACGACAGTTTGCCCCAAAAGCACTTCAGGGGAGTGCTGTTTGACAACTTGTCATAAATTAAGAATAAGACCTTTTATTTCCAAAAGAAATTAATGTCTGTTCTTAAGTTCAAAGTGAACCAACTGTTCTGCAGGATGATATGTGGACATCGACCACCTTCCAGTCACCAATCACCTGTAAACAGAGCAGCAGCAAACCCATGTTGACCTAGCATGGGGAAGTAGTCTTAGCAGGTCCCTCGGTCCAGAATGCCTGCGTCCACTCACTCAAGTTGTTGTTGTTAGTGCCATGGAGCTGATTCCGACTCCTAGTGACCCTGTGGACAGCAGAGTGGAACCCTGCCTGGTCTTTTTGTGCCATCCTCTCACCCTCTGGCGCTACATCAGACAATGCTCCACCGCTATTCGTAGGGTTTTCAAAGCCAATTTTTTTGGAAGTGGGTGGCCAGGTCCTTCTTCTTAGTCTGTCTTAGTCTGGAAGCTCCGCTGAAACCTGTCCACCACGGGTGACCCTGCTGGTATATGAAATACAGGTGGCATAGCTTTCAGCTTCACGGCAACAGGCAGCCACCACAGTATGACAACTGGCAAATGTGTGGCGTGTTTTCCTGACTGGGAAATGAACCAAGGCCACAGTGGTGACAGCACCGAATCTTAACCACTCAACCACGAGGGCCGGCTAGTCACTCAAGTGCAGCCTACAAAACTGATTTTATTGAAGGGAGAAAGAGTGTATGTATTGAAATGGGAGTCCACTGAGGTCACCCCTCTGAGGTCCACTGCCTCTTCTGAGGAGCCAAGAGACACAGCAACCACTAGGCTTCCTATCAGCTACAATAAGAAATCCAGAAAACAGCACTGATGGTTTTTCTAAGTGGATATGGCAGTGAAGCAATCACTGACGCATCACAAAAAAGAGAAAGAGGGGCCGGCTGGGTGGCGTAGAGCTTAAGTTTGCGTGCTCCGCTTTGGTGGCTTGGGGTTCGCAGGTTCGGATCCTGGGCACCGACCTATGCACCACTTATCAAGCCATGCTGTGGCAGGCATCCCACATATAAAATAGAGAAGGATGGGCATGGATGTTAGCTCAGGGCCAATCTTCATCAGCAAAAATAGGAGGATTGGCGGTGGATATTAGCCCAGGACTAATCTTCCTCAAAAGAAAAAAAGAGAGAAAGAGAGCAGATGAAAATAGCATCACCAAAGCCTAGAGGCTGGGTAGGATCCCGTGTCTCCCAAGTACTAAAAATTTGTAACATTTTAAATAGCATCTTAAGCAAAAGATAGTAAGAGCCTCTATCACAAAGCTTGTCTAGAACAGACGGGACATCAGCCACTCATTTGACAAGGCAGCTGGCGGGCAGACCTGTCAGAAAAAGCATTAGATAGGGAGGGTGTGCATCTAAAATAAACATTTTTGTGGGGCCTGGTCTCTCCTCTCTGTGGTCAAGCGGTCTTTCAGCTTGAGCTGTTCACAGGGGACCTATTTCCCTCCCCAGCTCAAACGTAACCGTAGACACTAACGGGGCTGCAGTCCGCAGTCAGCCATTGGAAAGCCAGGAGGAATGGTTTCCCATAGGGTTTCACTTCTTACTGCTTTTAATATTTGAAGCTCCTTAAAGCTCAGCGCCTAGTCTTTGGGAGGACAGACATGCCCTAAAACAATGGAGAACCTGAGTGACCCTGCAAGGATAGAGAGGGAGAGCCGAGGGGAGCCGACCCAGGGGAACACTCTTCCAGGTCCCGCTAAACAACGCCAGCAGCGGAAGCCCTCACTATAAGGAGACCATAAGTCAACAGAGCAGGCATTCCTCCAGCTGGCACCTACAAGTCCTCCAAAACAGACACTCGCTGAAAACGTGACTTCAGAGAGGAAAAACAAACCCCGGGAGGAAGTGACTCCAAATGGATGTTCCGCCTTAACTAACAGGCACCGCTAAGGCCTAGAAGCTTGAACCCACATTTTCAGGCATTGCTGTGCCTCCTGCCACATTACCCTCAGATGGCATTTTAAAGAAGCACAAATGCAGGAACGTTCTTTCTCACAATCTCCCCCATGACTCTAAAGCCAATTCCTTTCCGCTAACCAATAAGTGTTCAATCTACGTCTCTGTCTTCGCTTCCTAAGGCTGCTGTAAGAAAGTGCCACAACCTCGGTGGCTGAAAACAAAAGACATTTATTCTCTCACAGTTGTGGAGGCCAGAAGTCCAAAACCAAGATGTCAGCAGGGCCAGGCTCCCTCTGAAGGATCCTTCCTTGCCTCTTCCAGCTTCTAGTGGCTCCAGGTGCTTCTTGGCTTGTGGCTGCATTACATCAATCTCTGCCTCCGTCTTCACGTGGCCTTCTCCCCTGGGCCTCTGTCTTAAATAGTCCTCTGCCCCTCTCTTATAAAGACATTTGTCATGGGATTTAGGCCCACTCTAAATCTAGGATGATCTCATCTTGGGATCCTTAAATGAATTACATCTGCAAAGACCCTTTTAGGGGCCAGCCCCATGGCCTAGTGGTTAAGCTTGACACTCTCCGCTTCAGCAGCCCGGGTTCACTTCCCAGGCACAGACCTACACCACTTATCGATGGCCATGCTGTGGCAGCAACCCACATATAAAGTGGAGGAAGACTGGCACAGGTGTTAGCTCAGGGTGAATCTTCATTAAGCAAAAAAGAAGATTGGCAACAGATGTTAGCTCAGGGAGAATCTTCCTCTGCAAAAAAAGGACCTTTTACCAAATAAGGTCATGTTCCCAGGTTCTCTGGGCGTGGACCAGGACGTATCTTTTGGGGGGGGTCACTATTCAACACACTATAGCCTCCAACAAACTAGAGAGGAAAATGAGTTACTTATTTAAATGAACATGAACTGTGAATATTTCGTTGTATTTAATCACCAAAAGCCCAAGAGACTATCATGTTCGAGGCTGGTGTGAAGGTCAGCTAAGTGTCCTTGAACGAGTTACTGAGTCTGAGCCTCACTGTCCCTGTGTATAAAATGGGGACAACCTGACCTGGCAGGGCTGATGCGCGGGTTGACAGTAATTCACTTAGAGTGCCTGGCACCCCATATGTTGTTGACAGGCCCTAGTCTCCAATGGCTCTGAACAAAATGTCCAACAACCGCTCTGCAGGAAAAGGCATCCAGTTATGCCTTGATCCAGCCACTATCAGGGTGAGTCTTAGGCATTTAGAAAAAAACAGAAAAGATTAAGGTACCAGGCTTGCCAAAGGTAAATAATGATAGACCTGTGGGGAATCAAGGACTTTGAAACACGAAAGCAGCCTGTCCTCTCCCAAGCAGTGACTGGGACCATGGTTCTTCTCCAATTATCCTGGAATCACCAACCCAAACATCCAGTCTGCCACTGCTTGTGGACTGCCCCGGAGAGGAGCTGTGTATTATTTATCTTGGTGTCCCCAACAGCTGTCAGAGGGCCTGGCACCCAAGTCATTCGATCAACATTGATGAAATGAAGGGAGATATGAGCTAGGATGCTCTAGAAAATTCAGCCCTAGTGATAGATAATAATATGGATAACTACTATTCATTTAAAGCACTATACTAAGTACTGCACATGTATTGAGGAGATTAAATAAGATAATGCACCTAAACATTTTGGCATGGCGGACTTTCCAGAAATGTCAGTGATCATCATCGCCTATCTTAACCCTCACTCCAACCAACAATGGAGGCATTATCATCCCATTTCACACAGCAGGAACTGAGGCACACAGAGATTAAGTCACAGAGCTAATACCTGGCAGAGCCAGGACTTCTCACACTTCAAAGACCTGTGTTCTTTCCACTCCACCACACTGCACCTGATTCATTTTATTTAGTCTTTGCTTTAAGGCCGGTCCCCGCTCATATATCTATAATAAGACTATATGTTGGGTGTGTGTGTGTGTGTAAATATGTATACATATACGCCATATATTGGTAAACACACACACATCTAATACCTTCACTGAAGGAATAAACTAGAGAGAACACTGACCTCAAAGCAGAAGGTCTCAGGAACATGGTAAATTCCTTCCACTGTCAAGTTCATGAATCGTATAGCCAGAGAGTAAAGTGTCACGTTACACTCTGCCAAGCTCACAAAAGCAACACACACAATGTTTTGTAAACTCCAGAGCCTCATCTGCAGGCTTATTACTTCCTGTTGAATATCTTGTTTCCACACCAACCACCCACAGTGAAGAAAAGTGAACTGTGCTCAACTTTCATGCCCCAACACTCTTCTCTCCACCCAGATTCACAAAGAAAGTGATCAGGAAACATGACCAGGGAATTAAAGAGTGTCCCTGCCACTGAACTTACAGGAGGAATGGATGCTGGGGAAGCTTTTGCGGCCCTCGGACACCAGATCGGGGTCACCTGTGCAGTGCATTTCTGAGTTCATCACTCCATCTGGAAAGCAGCGGTAAAAGAAATCGGGGCGAGGTCTACAAAAGACACCATGGACATTTTCAATATAAAATGCTGCCGTCACAAATGAACCCCAAACTGACCCCCACCATTCCCGGCTTCCCCCAGCTCCTTCTTCTGCCATCAACACCGGAGCCCCCTCTGGAGCTCTCTAGACATGGTGGTCTTGGGAAAGTCTCAGGCTTCGGGGTCAGAAAGATCTGAGTTGGAACTCCTGCTCTGCCACTTATGAGTTGTCTGACCTTGGGAAGGTCATGTAGCCTTCCCCAATCTCAGCTTCCACATCTGTAGTAGGGGGAGATCAATACCTACCCAAAGGTGAGGTCCTGAGGGCTACATGAGATGACTTATAGGAGGCATGTAAGCATGGTGCCAGCAGAGTAAAAGGTAGTTCCTGCCTCTATCCATGGCTCCGCCATTCAGAGGCTGCTCCCAGGATCCAAGACTCCAGGCTCCTCACGTCCCTATCCCTTGCATTGGGATGGCCAGTTGCCTTCTTCAAATAGCAGGTCTCACTTAACCTCACTGAGAGGATCGGAAAGCTCCGCTCCATGATGCAGAGCACACGGTCACCCAGGTTAGCGTCTCTGATCCAGGTCATGGGAGAGTGACCTCTAGAGGGAAGTGAGGTAGAAGCTGGCCTGGAAGTCGAGCCTCCTGCTGCAACCACAGCCAACATTTATTGAGTACTTACTGGGTACCAGACACAGTGTTCAGCACTGCACATGCATCATGTCAGATGATTCTTATGACAAGCCTGAGGCAGAGCCTGGAACTTTCTTCATTTTACGGATGCGAAAATGAAGGCTTGGAGAGATGACACTCCTGCCCAAGGTCACGCACAACCAGTAAGTGGCAAAGACGAGCTCTGAACCCCAGCCATTGGATTCTTGCACCTACACGCTTCACCCCATGCTTTTCCGCCTCACTCAAGTGAGGATTCTCACAGAGATATGTGATGGTTGATCATTTCACATTAATTCAACTAATACTTGCTGAATGCCTGCCATGGTAAACACACTAATGCTGTAAACACAAGGCCCCTTTTCTGCACATATCTGGTCACAGTTCACATACACTGACTCACTGGTCCTCCCAGGTTTGGGATCTAGGCCCAATAATGATCTCTCAATAGCTATAACATATCAATCATCAATATCAATAATCTATCAGAAGTGCTGGTGTGCTGTCTCTCTCCTACTCAGCTAACATTTCTCCAGGTGTGGCTATTCACCTCCTGAACCAGAACCTCACAGGGGACAAGGCCTGAGAATGAGCATTTTATCAGGGGCCCACAGCAACTCTAAGCACGGGAAGTTGGAAGAACCTGGCGGCACCAGTTCATGTACCGCCCGAGTTGGATCTGTCTTCTGCCCCCTCGGTGCCTGACCAGCACCCTGCACCAAGGAGAGAATCAGTAAATGCTGAGGTTCTGGGAGCGGAGCTGACCTGTGCAAGGCCAACAGCTAGCCAGGGCCAAAGTCAGGGCTCAAATTCAGGTCTTTTGATTGTTCGTCTTTACAGAGACTAGCTCACTGCCAGTGCAGTCAGGGGAGAAAGCAAGATAAATGGGGAACAGAAATCATTTCCCAGGGGGTGGTAAGAGAAATGTGCCAGAAGCCAAAGCTCAACTGCCAATCCATACTTCTTATCCCGGAGAGAACAATAAATAAGTAATCTTATTTATTTTTTGGAGGCCAAAACTGACAAGTGAGTGGGTGCCCGGGGAAGCCCTGGGACAGCAGTGGGTGGACCCAGAAATGCCAGCAGTGGGCCTTGGCCCACAGGAAAGTATGGTCTGTGAATATTTCTTTACTATGGATCTCCTGCTTTCTGAAATAGTGAGTTCGTAATTCAAAGGAGAGGAAAGATCTATGCTGAGGACAGAAACCCCAGAAGGACAACAATTTAAGGGAAAACCAGAAGAGCTCAAACCTGTCCCATCCAGTGTCCTGTGGCTAAGGTTCCTACATAGATGACCTCAAGTGTCTAAGGCACCATTTGTTTCTTTGTGGAACTTACCTTCCCACTATTAATTTAATAGTGTTTGTGCAGACTCCATTCAAAGCAAGAGCCAAGGACACCGCTACAAAAGAAAACCAACAGACAGAAAATAACCAGCTGTCTCTCAAATCAAAATCATCATCATCATCATCACTGTTACATTATAATACTATTTCACTTATGACCACATGAACCAATAGTTTAAAAAACAGAGGAAACGTTTGGGTGGCTAGAGTCAAATATAATTAGGACAGGACTTTGGCAAGTGACTCATAAAATTCCAAGCCTCTATGACATGAAATTTCTTTCTCCTCCTTGACTGAAACTTTCAATACTGCAGAGGAGCCCATCGATCATGTTCTGGCCTGATATGAACAGATTTAATACTACAGTAAGTGGAATTTCTTTTATTGGTAGCAAGAAATATAACTTTCTAATTTCTTTCTGGCAACCCGCTCAGACAATTCTAATCAGAGCAGCTGCCAGGATCCTACTGTGGGGCAGAATATTCCCACTCGGCAATTATCTCCTCGTTGACCGACCCATCACCGGCTGACAGCTGTCTATCTGTTATCAAACAAATCATTGTTTCTGAGAAGGTGAAGGGTCCCAATGCCTCCCTGGGTTTTGAGACGGTTTGCCCAGGTGGTGCTTTTTGCCACCAAAACCGTAGGAGCTTCTGAAATACCTTATTTTAAAATATACAGCATGGGGACTTTCTCCAAGCAACCTGGAAGGGCTTTGAGAAATGAAGTACAGATCATCCAAAGGATGCAGGTGACATGAGTCACAGAGCTTTCTCCGCAAGGAACTCACACCCCTCTCCTGTGTTTATCAAGACTGCACAAAAGGCAAGTCAATGTGATGGAAGGTCAAACGCCTTGCACAAGCAATAAAAACCTGTTGATGCCCCATTCCATTGTTTTGTTGAATACTAAAGCATGTGAGTTACCATTTCCCTTTGGCAAATATTAACTCTCCAGTAACAGCTGAGATTTATGTAAGAAAATAGCAGTGGAGGGAGATTTTCAGGAAGGAGCTGCCTAGAGCTATTCATGGTCATCAAGGGAGACAAATGTGTTGTTTTATAAGTGGAAAGTACCGTGGACTGACCAACACAGTCACCAGAGGCACAGCCTAGTGATGGAGACAAAGCCCACCTGCTTTTAACAAGTCGTGGGAAGCAGAGAGAATGGGAGGGACCAGTTCAAATGAACACCTCTGTCAAAGGGAAACCAATCACCTAAGTGTGAGATGGGAAATGACTGGCCACATCTGAGTGTGGCAGCAAAGGAGGGATAGGCCACTGGGGTGGAGAGTGGAGCATGAGTCAGCAGCATGGCACCACCATTAAAACACCAAGCCTACAGCTGGGGTGTACAGATCGGAACCAAGCATGGGGGAACTCAGAGAGATCCTCTGATTACATTCTGCACGCACAGACCCTTCCTAAAATGCTGGCTCCCCTTCTCTCTTGCAAGCTCAGAACATTGCTGAGAGGTCTCCTTTGCGGAGGGGATGGAAAATGCCCTGGGCTATCTTCACTGCTGTATTCTCTCCCGCAGCCAATTAACAGGCTGTGAGACTGCCCTGAAATGACTGGGCTCTTTTCCTGTTAGGGCTGGTCCAGCAGGCTCATTCCTGTGTTTTCCCAATGGGGCTGGGCTCCTTCTTATCCTAGTCCTAGCGTGCCTTAGCACGGAGGAGGTCTTCAAGAACAAGCATGACTAGCTGATCTCCCAAATCCCTTGGGGACCTTCACAGACTGCTACATCGATCCAGGACACCATACACGTCCCCAGCCTCTGCACCGGCTGGGCTTATTGTAGCACAGAGCAGTTCTTTGAAAAGCTTCAAGGAGCTGAGCTAGAAAATGTGTGGATGTGATGTAACCACCAGCAGCTGGCAACTTCACTCTCTGATCCAAAAGCCTGAAGGAGACAGAAAAGAGTGGGGATCTGGAGTGACAATATTTATGGGAGAAGTCATCTCAGCATTCTGGAAGTAAACGGAAGCAATTATTATTTTCATCTGAATAGCACAACCCCCAGGGGACTAATATGGGGGCCTCTCACTGATACCAGAGAGAAGGCTGGCTGTGATCAGATGCAGGAGAGGCTGGCCGAGCAGGAAATGAATGGCCAATCAGGAGCACTTGGTGATTAACAATAACTCAGGGGGTCTGGTTCATAAGGGCTGTGTTTATAGCACCCCACAGCACTGCGGGTTTGAGAGAAGAGTCAGAAACACAAACCAGACTGTCTGATAAAGAAATTAAAGCCATGTGTTGTGTGAGTTGGCCTGCGAGTGGCCTGTACTGAGGACACTATTGCTCATAAGCGTCCCATCAGATTAGAGCGTTTTTGCTGTTACTTTTGTTGGGAATTTAGCACTGCAGCTCTTCCCTAACGTGGTTCTCTATGGTACAGACCTGGCTGTTCTGAAGCCGAAATCTCTGACAGCCTGATGCTGCGCAGGGCAAGCCTCAGCCCTCTGGTCCAACAGCAGACGTGCAAAGATGGCTGCTATGGACATGCAGCTAAGGGGAGCTCTTGGGGTCCAAGTCTGCTGAAGATGTCTAAGTAAAGAAGGGACCTGAGCACTAAGCCACTCTCACTGAGAAAGTCTTGAATTCCAGACACCATTGGAAAGCAGATATACCTGGTTTTCTGTCCTTGGTGTTTAAAGATCCCTCCTCAACACCTACTTCCACGGCTTTCTAAAAGCAGTGATTTAAAGAAAAAAAAGGAAAAAAGCTGTGTACAATGGGAGGCTCCCCATCGTTTTTACAAGGCAGGCTCTCATTTATTTAGGCAACAGAACACCCAGTAGCTCTGCCTTCTCTGTTAACGTATAGGAGGCAGGGTATGGTGTGCCATTTTGACATGTCACCCTAAGGAAGATTTAGCTGAGCAGGAGGAGGTCTAGAGAGAGTAACTCGGAGCTACTTACTGCCGTAACCAGAGCCCGACTCCACAAGCCAGCAGTAAATTATAACTGTAACCATAAAAGACAGTTCTTATCACAAACACTTATCTTGGGACTCCGTGCCAGGGGAGTGACTGGAATAAAAGGTGAGGCAAAGGGATTTCCAGGTCAACTGAAAGGGCGCCCAACACGACATTTTGGGAACCACAGTGATATCTGTCCAAACACTGCCCTGGCTGCTTGGGCCACGTGTGGGAGGGTACCTATGCCCTTCTTGGAAAAACTGACCTTTCCACCATCTCAGCTGAGGAGTCTGAGACCATGTGACTGCAAAACCCCTAGAACACAGATGAGCAGCCTGGGGTACACATGTGACTTCAGGGAAGGCATCCACAGGCTGGCCAGAGACTCATGACTTTTGTATCCAGGCTTGAGAAATGAGTCGAGCCACAGTCTCTGCCTGGGAAGTCTGGACCAGGAGAGGCAGTGCAACTCGGTGGTGGGCACTGGAGCTGAACGGTCATCCAGGTGTGGGGCAGGAACGCCCACCATGCAAGCCCAGAGGTAGGGGGCAGCAGAAACAATGTCCAGACAGGAGATTGAGGCAGGAAGCATGAGGAGAGGAGAGAGGGCACAGTACAGAGAGGAGCAGCCATGAGCCAAGAGGGCCATCTCCCCCCGTGGTGGCCGGGCTCCCTATTCCAATCCCCAGGAGGCCCCTCTGTCCTTTCTCCCCCCTATTCTTGGTGTTGGTGAGAATGCTTGTTATAGCCCTCCAACTAAACCCCTAATTTATGAGCTAATTTGAGAGGGATTCTGTTCTTTTCAACTAGACAGGGCCTAATGAAAGCCGAGTTGTGTAAGAAACGTTCTCTGTCCTGCTTCAAAGCAGAAAGCCTCTAAGTGCTCTGCACACCCTAGCTTTCACCCTCAGCCTCACTCCCTCACCAAGAAAAGGGAGGACCAGAAAGTGCAACAGTTTCATTTCCTCAAAGCCCAATAATTAACCAACATACCCTTTAGTGAGGAATCTCATATTTCCAGATTTACTGCCTAACTGAATGCTAAGTCCATACCACATACCAACAATACAACTTATGTGAAGTTTTAGGTGACTTTTCTGTGCAATGTCAAAAAATAAACCGAATTCAGTTTTTCTAATGATCAAGTTCAAAAGTTCAAAATCTACCTACCAGGTCGTTTATTTTGTTTGCTCAACAAACCAAGTAGTTTTGGCTACCTCTTAATACTGTCATTTACTCAACCATTTTATTAATGTGCAGATCAGAAAAGTAAGTTTAATCCTAAAAATGTCAAACTCGTGTCACACACAGATATGGCTTTGCCTGGGGGGAATTGAAACAATGGTGTTATAATCAAGGGCAAAGATTGTAGCACTCTTTACGCAATAACAATTGCTTAACTGCCAAAAGGTCCCCAGACTATAGATGAGCTATGGAGCTTGCTTCCAATTTCTATGTTATTTTACACACGCTTTTGCCGATCTTTGCCTCTAGCCAGCGGTGATTGGTCTGGGAGTCTGCGGTCCGTTTCTGAATTGCTTGTAATGTGGGCCTATTAGCCACCAATGTGGGATCGGACAGTTAGTGCTGACAAAGTTTCAGATTCGCGATGCCCTATTACCAAGAGTTACCCTGCCTCTGAGCCTGAGCCGCACAGATCTCCAATGTGGCTACAGCACTGATGTTCAAATTCAGCACAACGGACAGCGACAATGGGCTGCCATGGAAGATAAGGTGCTTATCTGCGCATTGACTCCTCTTAAGGCTTAAAGTTTATCTTGTCTTGTTTCTCCCAAGCTTAATTTGACCAAGAGAAAAATCAGTTGGGTGCAACTGAGATTTTTAAAATCTAGTGATCTAATTAAATTCAGCCCCATCCCCTAAAGCAGGAACTGTGAATACTCTACCTAAGAAGGCTTCCTTAATTTCAGTCTTGTCTGTTCGCCGGATAATTTTCACCACACAAATAACAGCCAGGGGTGTGAGGAAAGAAATTGCCTGGAAGAAATAACAAATAATCCCTTATGAGGATAGCAGTTTGCTATCTGAGAGCTGATTGATAATTAGTTCCTGTTGGCTTCATTTAGACTCACTAGTTGAATGATCTTACTGACCTCCTGACCTCAAAGAAGGAGGATTAATGTCTACACTTAGAGACTGTAGACTTGAAAAACTGGAGGGCTGAGTGTGAGTTATAATTGCTTTGTAATTGCTGAGAGCCACATTTAAAGTGGCGGCTTTTTAAACAGAAAAGAATAGTCTATAATTATGAAGACTCATTTTTGCCAGTAACCCCTCATGTCCTCCCCTGCAAAAGGCTGGAGGAACACTTGGCCTCCCATCCCCAGCTTTGTGGCAACACGGGAGCACAGGGGACTCAATCAGAGTCAATCGATTCATTCCCTTTAGGTGTTCTGTTGTTGAATATTCATTTCCTCCACAAAACGAATGTTAACCATTCTACATGGAGTCTCTCCTCTTCCCTTGCTCCATCCCCTTTCCTCCCCTGATCCAAAGCACACGGATGTGCACTAAGTGGTTAAGGAAGCAAGTTGGTGAGACCCAGATGCAAGCAACACTCATCACAAAACCATCTATGAGACAGGAACCACGCTTAGGTACCATCACTGGAGTCTCTTAAATCTTCACGGCGGCTCTGTGGCTATCTTCACCAGGCTCGAGGACTAAATCATGTGCCCGAGGACACACAGCTGATGCGTAGCAAGGTCAGGCTCCGGAGACCAGGTGTTCTGTCTCCCATTTCTAGACTTTATGCAGGATTTTGTATTTAGTAAGTTGTTTTCAACATTCCAACAACCAGGAAAAAGGTATTTATGTTACCTCTTTATGATTATAACGTCTCAGGATAACAAAATCAGAAGAGAGCAAATATCTCACCAATCCACAACTGGCCTCGCAGACGGTGGTGAGAAGGGTGGGGAGTGATAACTACTGACAAGTAGTGCCCTCGATTCTAGAAAGCTCCACCTGTGCTTGAATACAGTGGCCCATTTTGGAGAGGGGCCTCCTCACAGGACTAAACAATGGTCTTAGATACTTTTATAAGAACAGAATTCATCCAAATGAACACAGTCTTTCAAATCAAAGATGCTCTACCCACTTGCTACAACCAGACTGCAAGAGTTCAAAACACCTTGGGGACTCCTCTTGGGGAACTGTCTTCAGAGACAGTTCATGAGACAGGAGAAAACCCCTCTCTTACTGGCGGTTTCTCTCTGACCACAAGTGGCAGTAACCCAGCTTGATGAGCCTCCTTATCAACGATGGCCCTGAATGGCTTGGCTAAACAAACAAGTTTTGTTGCCATGCAGGGTATTCAGAAGACTGTGGCACAGCTAAGAGAGCAGATTCAGAACTGAAGCAGACAGGCAGAGAACTTCCCCAGAGGCAACTAGAAAAGACACACTCACTCGTGAGTTAATAGTTCGAGTTTAAGTCCGTGAAAGTTTCCAAAAGTGCCTGGGTGGCTCTCACACCTGATTGACTGCAGGGTTTGTGACAACGCTGAGTCCCTCAGTACACTTATAGGACAGGTCTGGGAACCTACCTTTTGTAACAAGCATCTCAGATGACACTGATGCTGGTGACCGAAAAACCCTGTGTCAGAGTTTTGACTCACACATTCGGTGTTTCAAGAGTCATGACTGAAATCCCTGCTTGAATAAGTCCAAAGTTATGGTCAAGTCAAAGACTCCTAAGCTGCTCACTTCCTCTCACTTTAGGCACCATAAATCCGGCCACGTGCTCCCAAATAAAATAAAGCAACTCATTGAACAGTGACCAGAGCTGCAAAGACCTCCCCAACAGTCAAACCTTAAATATGAGAACAACACAGAACTGAAGAAAACCTTACAAGACAATCCCAGATTATGTACTCTAGGGTTAGGGAAATGAAACCCCAGAAACAAACACAAGCGGGGAAGATTTTCTCCCTAGGCTCCAAAGGCTGCCGACCGGAGATTCAGAGCAGGAATGTGCAATGAAAGGAGACAGGGACACCATACAGAAGACCCACGGCTCAAAGCCCAGGAGTGGGAGCTGGAGAAGGCATGAGAGCTGCTCCGGGGCTCCAGGCTCGCAGCTTGATGGCCAAGGGGGTCTCTGGTAGCACTGCTCGCTGCCTCAGCAATCCTGCTCCTAATTAGATACCCACCCTGACTTGTCCAACCAAACTGCACTTAATTTAACCCATTTTACGACTTTCCTAGGCAGATGCACAATGTCTGTCTCCTAGAACCACTGACAAATTTCCTCCTGGGCCAATGCTGAGCACCCTGGAGGGACCAGGGCTCCCCACCTCCTGAGCTTCACCGGCAAGGGAAAGCAGCTACTAGACAAAGAGACACAGCCCCCACCCAGGTGGCTGCAACAGAAATGTCTGCGTATCGCTGTGTGACCGTCTTTCTCTCCTCCTCTCATCCTAATGGCATCTGGGCTCCAGTCTCATTTCTTCTTCCTGTAAACGTATCTGCCATATCCATGGGCAGCACAGTCCTCAAATCGGGACCGATAGAGACTGTATTTACACTTATCATCTGCCCTCATTTTTACAAATATTTTTCACATGGAAGTTGGAATTGCAAGATGAACCCCAGAAGCCAACACATTAGGAAAACAACTTCCTCCTGGGCAAAAGCACCAGTGAACTGAGCAAAAAGAACGAAGAGAGATGAAGGCCCCACTTGCGCTCAGCAAACCGGACTGAATTAAAGCCAGCACACACCCCTTCCACGTTGTGACCAGAGTCACTGTCCCGCTGCCCGAGCCCACAATGGACACAGACACGGAGGTGGGGAGCGGTTACTTCCACCTCCAAACGGCTGTGCAGATGAAGGAACAAAAGGCACAAAATTTTCCCTGGTATTGTTTTCACTTAGGTTAATGTTTCCACGGCTTTAAAAAAAAAGTTTGAAAATCCTGGGTACGAGCCCAGTGTAGACAGTCAACAGTTAGCGCTTATTAAATGGAACCCGAGAGAGACCAGAACAAAGAATTCCAGCCACTCACTGCTGCAGGATGTGGGAACATAGCGAACCCTCTCTGTGCTTGAGTTTTCCTCCCCAGTCACGAGCACAGGTACGTTAGACAGCAGAGGCCGACACGTTCTGAGAACTTCCTAAGGACCATGATCTGTTCCAGGCACTTCACGCCAATTAACTCATTGAATCCTCACAGCAACTCTATGAAGTAGGCTTCTTACTTAATGGATAGGCAACTAAGGCACAGAGAGGTTAAGCAACCTGCTACAAGTCGAACAGCTAAGAAGTGGTAAAGTGGGGATTTGCACCTGGGCTGTTTAAATCAAGGTCTACACTTTTAACCCCAGTGATACAGCAGTTCTCACCACAGAAAGCTAGATGTGTTAACAAAATATGGCAAATGCCTTTTCTCTGGAGCTGCAGGGAAGGGGCCTGGAAAGTCACAGGATGTCAGCGGCAGCTGTCACGGATGATGCACCTCCTGTGTGTTAGGGGCCTTCCTCACATTTGTCTAACCCCCTAACTACTCTGTAAACATCATTAAATGGAAACATCATCCTCCTTGGACAGACAACAAAGCCGAGCTCAGAGAGGTCAGTGAACACCCCCGCCTCCCGGGCTGGGGTCCTGAACCGCAGGGATCACCTCAGCCTGACAGCCTCATCTTACAGACGGGGAAACTGAGGCCAAGATAGACTTCGTTTTAAGGACATTTTGTAAACTACTAATTAATTGTACTACACAAATCAGGATGATATATATAAATCGTTAAGCAGGATCTGGTACGTGGCATGGTTTGCATGATGCTATTCCACAGGCCGGGAGGCTAGAGCTTTGTAGAGGAAAATGTGTGGAACTGATTCAGATTAAGGAGAGCGACATTCAAGCCCCGGCTCTGACGCTTACCAGAGAGGTCACTTAACCTCCTCACCTTTGAACCTCAGTTTCCTCATCTATTAAATGGGTATAACAAGACCTGCAGCAAAGTATTGTCACTAGGACTCAAATTCTTTAAGAGCTATTGAATGCTTCTTACCTACCTCACATTGAGAAAGTGTGATCAGTCAACCACCCCGTTTAACACTCTCAACACCCCGCGAGGGGGAGGGAAGTGTTGTCAAAGCGCCCCCTTTGCAGATAAGGAACCGAGGCTCTGAGAGGGTAGACGACGCTCCCAATTCACACGGCTGGCAGGAGGCACAGCCGGGAGCTGATCTGAGGCAGCCCCCTCTGAAGCCTGTGCTGACTGCCCCCCATGGCGTCCACTGGAGAGTGAGCATCAGTAAATGCTGGTTGCTGGCTACCAGGCCATTATTTCCAGGCAAAACTGTTAACAAATGACCCAAACCAGTAAAGGTGTACCAGGATCCTGTGACCAGACATACGGCAATAAAGCGTTTTCAGTTCAGCCCACCTGTGCCCTTAGGTCTGAGTCGTGGGCACCTTTGCAGGCAGGAAGGAGGTCGGGGACAAGGAGGAGGCTATTTCACCCAGGGCCCTTGCCCATGCCCTACATGACCAATGTCTCTGCCAGAGCCCTGCCTTCTGCATCCACCGATGAAACAACACAGGAAGTGCCGCTGATCCGCAGCCATTGGGACCCAAAGGTGGGCCACCCTGGGGGCCGACACATGGCACTGTGCTGCAAGGATGCTCCTGGGGACGGACAAAGTGGGAGCAGCATGTGTGAAGGGAAGGGCATGAATATGCCCAGGACTTTTAACAGCCAAAAGGGGCCCACACGAGAGTACCGGATGTCAGGATGCTAGTCAGAGATCAGCCTGTCACTGGGGTTCATTCACATCAGACAAAACAACAGACCCAAGTGCCTTAATTTCCGGCATTTGATGGAAAAGTGTGCTGCAAAGTCATTATAAAGACAACTCAGGACACACAGACACCTGGAAAAGGCCCCGCCACGGGTAACAATTACAGCCCGTCTTGAAGAAGAGAGCTGTCTCAGACTTCCCGAAGAGTCTAGAAATTAAACTGTCTGTCACGAGCCAGCTTTGTCTCTTCTCCTTCCCATCTCCCCTCAAAGTGACTTTATTTCTGTCTTCCTTAGAAGCATCTTATTCCAGAATTAGGAAACTCTGTTATCAAATCAACACAATATCAGTAAAGTTCTACGAAAATAAATCTTCTGGACATATCACGGCCAGAGCAAAAAGAGGCCAGGGCAAAGGAGAGATCTTGGGCAGATTTTTTTTCTCAAGTCACAGAGAGAAACTGGGGCACACCCGCCATTCTTCAGTTCCCTTCTTGAGTCTTGTCTGTTCTTCAAGGGCTTTCCCGGGATGCTGAATCATCTGACCGGGGTTCATGTCTGTGCGCCCCACTAGACTAGAAACCATAGCTTATTCAGCTTTGTACCTCCACTCTCCGCACCATGCTTGGGTCAAGGCGGGTGCTGCTTAACTGTCTGTTGATTTAAGTAATAATTAACTAGTCTGAAGCCGTCCACAGTCTGCTTCTCTCCCTGCCTCCCTCCGCCCCCTCCACCACACAGATGCTCCGAACAAACTCCTAGTCACTGCACCCATGTGGACCTTGCTCTCCCAGGTCTGTGCCTTCACACTCCTGCTCTTCTGTGTGTGAACCACTACTCACCACCTCTCCGTGTCACATGAGTCATCACAGTGGAATGGCTCCATGAGGGTCTGTACTCTGGTAGCTGGCGTTCAGATCCCGGTCCAGCCACTGATGGTGGTATAACCTTGGATAAGTTGTTTGATCTCAAGACAGTTTCATTTTCTCCACTGAAATTAGGGGATAACAAAAGTGCCAACTTCAAAGGATGCTGAAAAGGATTCTCTGAGACACTGCTTACAAAGTGATGAGCACCGTTCCCGTCCTCAAGAGATGTTGGCTGTTGTTGTTGTTACTACTGTGAGGATGACAACGATGATGATGATGACGAAACTCCCTAAAAGCTGACCTGAGCCTTTCCTCTGCCCTTTCCAGATTCTATTTTGCTTTAGGGTACCATCTCCCTCCAGAGCCCGCAGGGTCCCTGAGGGCGTGCCCCAGTCCAGTCTGACCTCCTCTCGCTGCAGCTCCTACGGCTTGCCTTCCCCACAGCAGGCTCCTAGAAGTGTTCCCTCAGCGCACTAAGAAGCCACACTCAAAACCGACTGAGTCTTCCTACCTCAAAAAGTCGGTTTTCAAAGACACCATGATAAACGCCTCATGCTCAGAAAGGAACCACGATATCTTTTGAATAAGCGGACACTCTCCCATACAGGCAGCTGATGGCTTGGGAACATCCAAGAAATGTTAAGTCAAGACTCAGTGCATGTGAAAATACCCTCTCAGCCCATCTCTCCCGTCTCTCTGGTCAACGGGAAGCCAGAGTCATGAAGGGAAACAAGCTCTCAAAATCCAACAGTCCAACCACACCCAACTTCCAGACACAGTCTTAACAGACACAGTCCCCTCAGCTGACGGTACCAAAGACAGGAAAAACGCGAGTTTGGGGTTTCCTGGAGACACCATACCATTTACTCTGCACTTAACTCAATCCCGTAACCATTATTCTGATACTATTTTTGTGACATTTGACCAAGTGGCTCCTCTAAAAAACACATGCACACACACACACAACTCCAGAGGCACTAATTTCCCCATAAAGAAACATCTGGGTTAACAGCAGCTGCCTTTGAAATACATTGGTTAGAAATTTAGAAAACTTGCCTCTAGATTAAAACATTCTGACCAAAAGTAAAAGAGACCCCAGGATTTTATTTATTCATTAAATAATGAAATTTGAGCTTTCTACAGAAACCAAGCGATTTTTAAAAGCAGTGAAAATGTATGTTCTATTTTAAGTTCTTCTATAAACACCTGAAGGTTTTAAAGGATCAAAAGCAGGTAAATGATATCTTATATTAAACTCTTAATAAAATCCAGGAGAACAAATTTAATTTACGTGGTAGCAGTATTTTTCACTCTTGTTACAGGTATTCTAAATGTATCTACCACTTTCCTCATGTTAGTAGGGAATCACACTAAATCTTGTGGCCAAATGAATGAAATTTATCAACTACTGTTAACAAAACAAAAGGTTGAACTTATTTCATTAGGAAATTAGAGGGTATGAACCAGGATTTGTGGCTGAATACGCCCTTCTATTCTCTGGAATCACAGCATTGAATGACTCCCTCCCAGCCTCCTCCCACAACTGCCAACATGCAAATCGCTCCATCCTATTTGCGTCTGCAGCCAGACTATTTGTAGCGTTTGTATCTAGACTTCAAAACAATCCATTGTTCACAAATCTAGGACATGGCCACAAATTTCTCCCAATATCCTATATGAACATTCATCTCCAAATTGTGTTTTTTACAGCATCTGAAATGTGACATCTTTGAGGAAAGGGGATAAGTGATAAATAGAAGCTTCCCTCTGTTAAAACCATGGAGTAAACTAGCTAGTCACACGTTGGTTCCTTTATTTCTAGGATTCATAGAAGATTTACAGAAATGGAAAAAGTCTGATTTTAATACTCAACTGATAGGTAATGCCCTACTCACAAACACCCTAATTTTTCAACTCTCTTGAGATTTACAAAAATCCAGTTTATTTTCCAGCAGAAAAGTAATTATTAAAAAGCAATTAAAATAATACTTCAGTGCTCATGTAGTGTTCTGGGCATTTCAGGATGTTTGAAGACAAAAGGATCTTTCCAGTTATGTCTAATTAACAAGATTTCCTCCACAAAATCAGAGGATTGCTTTCAAAATGCAAATATATTCCTCATGTGCCCTATGAAAGCTCTCGAACAGTCATTCAAGTTCCCAGAGGCATGAGACACAATGGCTGGCCAACAGGAAGAACCTCTGAGCTACAAGGTTGCCCATCCAAAAGCTACATTACTGTTCCCTAACAGGGGGAGTTTATTTCCTCTGCTACAGGAAGGCCTGATGGCAATTCTCCAGAAGTCAATTAGCACCAGCAAGGAGTCCTGGACACTTGGCTCCCAAATTACAGGGCAGCCTCCTGGCTAAGAGCAGGGCTCAGAGCTGGCTGCTTGGACGTGAATTTTGACTCTAGCTGTGTGGCTTTGGGCAAGTTCCCTCATCTCTCTAGGATGCAGTTCTGCACCTGCAAAAGGTGGACAACAACGACATCTTCCTCGCTGGGATGCAGGGTGGGACTAAATGAGATAATCCTTTCTTAAGCTGTCAGCAAAGTGTTTGGCACAGAGGAAGTGAAGTGTAAAAGGTTGCCACTGCCATGGGGCAGGGTGGAGAGGTAAAAATAATCCCAATATATCCTCCAGCCCTTTAGGAGCTTGTCCATTTATTCTAGAAGGAGAGACATGAGACACTATCCAGGGTGGAGTCATACAGTGATCTCATCAGTGATCAACAGCTGAGCAGCTGAAACCAGAACAGAGGTTAACAGAACTATCTACGGAGCCCGAGTTTGGCAAAACCGAGGCTTATCCTAAAAGGAGAGGGCGCGGGAAGTTCTTGTCTTCCTTTCCTGTAAACACTCAGAAACAACTGTGCACGGCTCAGGGAAGCAGGGCCCTTCTCTTTCCAAACTGTCGGGCAATTACTACTTCCCACATGACCAGGCAGCACCCGCCATGATCTCAAACTGAATTTTAATGTGATGGGCCGCTCACCTTCTCTTCCTTTCAGGCTGCTCGCCGTCTTCAGCAGGGGTTAGAAAAGCAGAAAGGAAAACCCACTTGGTTCATACTTGGGAGAGTGGTCAAATCAGCCATGAAATCACGGTACTTACAAACATGAGGCGGGTAGGGATGTTGTCTGATTGCACCAGAGGATTTTTATAGAGCCAGATCTCTTCCGGCTGGATGACTCTCTGGAACGGATCCAGAAACTCTGTAAAACTGAAACAAAACAAAGAAAGGTGCATGAGGGCTGAGCACAAGGCAGTTGCCCATAGTTCGCCAGAAGGTCCCTCCTGCACGCCCTCAGGTGGAGAATCAGCCTCTGCCGGAGGGGACGGGCAGAACGGGCTGCCCCTGCCCATGGTTCTCAGCCAGTTCCAACTGGGAAAGATCCGAAGAATTACTGAGCCTTTGTAGAATCTTCTTTCACCACCTGCCAGCAAGGACCAATTCTGGGCCTAAGAGAAGAGCTGTGAGGCTGAGCTACAAAGATCCTAAGGACTTGGGCTTCCAAAGTGAACTGGAAGCTGAAGTGCAGAACAGTGGCTCGGACTGGGGCCAGGCAAGGCCAGGAGCACGGTGTCTGGGAACAAAACAGGCTTGAGTCGGAGCAAAGGGGAGGGAGCAGCCGGCCCCACAGGGGGAACCGGCCTGTTCTTCCCTGCGTGTTACCTGGACAGCGCCCTGCCATCCTCGCCACCACTAGGGGGCAGAGTGAGAAAGAACAGCTTCCAAGAGAAGACAGAAGATGGGGACGGGAGAGAAATGCAGAGGAGGGAAGGAAGGAAGGGAAAAGGGGAATGAGGTACATCCTGGGGCTGCTGCCAAGAAACCACACAGCTTTAAGCATCCACCTCACCATCTCGTCACCCTCTCAATTCCTCTCACACCCTGGGAACCCCCATAACCCAGGCAGATGAAAAGCAATCACCACCAAGAGAAAAACTGGCGGAAGAGGGACAGAGACGGCAGGGGTGCGGTTTGCTTTGTCAGCTCTCAGCCATCAGGCCACCTCCCAGCTCACCAGCCCAACTCTCCACTGGGTGCACTCGGTTCAAAATGGCTAGAGATGTGGCTGGAGATGGCAAGGGGGCCAGTGATTCGGGGCTTAAGCGCCAGGTAAAGGAAATTGGCTTTTGAGCCAATGAGGGATTCTGCAGAGAAGTGTGAGACGAGATTTCCAGTTCAAGGTAGTGGTGAGGATAGGGAACGGGAGCAGAGAAGGGAAGGTGGAGACAGTTAGGGGGGTTATGGCAGCTGTCCCAGCAAGAGATGCCTGCAGAGTGAAGAAAGGGGCAGGACAGGATGGAAGAGCGCGCAGGTGGGAGGTGGGGGTGGGCAAAGCTGATTCCAAGGCTCTGGCTTGGGCTTCCAGGAAAAGGGGCACCATTAACCAGGATGAAGAGACTGGGAGGATGGGGAGGAGCAGGTCAACCGTCTCCTCCCACAGGATACCATCCAGGGTCACCGACAGTCCTGGTTTGGACAGGATTCTCCCAGTTTTAGCACTGAAAGTCCTGTGTCCCAGAAAACCCCTCAGTCCTGGGCAAACTGGATGGCAGGTCACCCTGAAGTCGTCTCAGCCCCTGGACAAAATCAGGAGTCTCACAGCCTTGGGTTCTATTCTAGACTTGGGACTTCATATGACGGTCAGCTGTTTGCAGGTCCAGCTACACTGTGAGGGTGTGGAGGGCAGTGCCCACTCAGGCCTGTGTCCTCAGAGCCCAGGGGGATGGGACTCTTGGTGACTGCAGAACGTGCTGTCTATGTAGGACTCTGAACAGCTGCCACAGAGAATATTCTCAATTTGATCAGCCTCACACTGCATTCTAGCATGCATCTCAAAGAGACCTAAAATTCAACCTCTTTTCTCTATATATACATCTCTCCCTCCTCCTTTCCCTCTCCCCCTCCATCACTCCCTCCCTTTTCTCTCTCTGTCCTCTAACTGAGGTTTAAGTCCTAAAACTCTGTTCATATATCTATGTAATTTCCAGAAGAAAGTGGTGCTGGCCCATGCCTGTTTTGCTCAGCACTGTGCCTGGTGCCTCTGCCTGGCACAGGAGAGTCACTTGGGAAACATTCGCTGGATGAGTGAATGAACCCACACAATGCCAGCCACAGCATTTGACCAGGTCAACTCTTCCCCAGCCCTGAACCTGGAACATCTCTATTGCAGAACCTTATTGTAAGCACGTTGAGATGCCTTCACTGGTATGCAAGTGACTTCTGCTAAGGGCCCTCCACACCTCCTCCACAACGAGGCACGGGGAGCACGCTGTCTGGGCACTGGGCAACCTCCTCTCTGCCCAGCTCTGCCGTTATGCTGCTCTGTGTCTCGGAACAAGCCTCTTCTCCTCACCAGGCCTCAGCGTCCTCACCTGCAACATGGGAGGTTGGACGAAGTCAGAGGCATCAACTGAGATGGGTCAGAACCATCTGGAGAGCACATCACCCCAGACCAACGGTCTCGGTATGGACAGGGCCTGGTCACATGGATTTTAAAACACTCCCGGGGTGATCCCGAAGAGCCCTGAGTCCCCAGAATTGAACCAGATGATCCCCAGGGGTCCTGCACCCTGGTCCCCAAGTCCAGGAGGCTGGTGACTTAACTGTCCCCATTAAGCATCCTCCCATCTGCTGCAGGACAGGCTCCGGAGTCAGGCCCATCTCGTTCAAATCCCAGCTCTGGCTGTGTGGCTCTTGGTGAGTTCCTTAACATCTCTGAGCCTCAATCTCCCCATCTGTAAAATGGGCACACCTTACAGAGTAGGGACAAAAATTAAAGGAAAGAATGGTATAAAGTACCCAACAGAGCATGAACAGAACTCCTGTTTCATCACCATTATCGTTTTGCTCTCGCTCCACCTGCAAGTGTTTTCTAGACAGTTTTCAGGCTTATTTTTTGCTTGATTTGTGACAACCTACTCATTGCTCCCAAGTGATTTTAAAACATTTTAAATAAAACAGAGTAAAGTGAATTTTTCTTGAATGATGGTTTTAAGAATGTGTAACCTACTTGCGAAAACCGAAGCTTCCAGAATACTCCAGTTCGTAGGGCTGCATAACAAATTACCCGAAATTGAATGACTTCAAACACCCGTTTTCTTCCGCTCGTGATTTTGTGGATCAGGAAATGGAGACGGCAGTTCTCATTTGAAATCCCTCGTGTGGTCACAGCAGTCAGCCGTGGGCCCGGACTCTGAAGGCTTGACTGGGCTGGACACCACGATGGTCACTCTCCTGGCCGGCCGCTGATGCCGGCTGTCAGCTGGGAGCTCAGCCAGAGCCGCCGCCTGGAGCACCCCCACGCCTCTCCAGCTCTGTGGTCTCAGGGCAGTCCCAACTCTTCACGGCTGCTGGCCGCACCCAGAATGGTGTCCCGAGAGAACCAGGAGAAGCCGAATGGCTTTTCTGACTTAGCCTCAGAAGGCTCCTGGTTTCATGCCCACCAACTTCTCTTGATTACAAATGAGTCATAGGTCGGGCCAGACTCAAGAGAGGGGAACCGACTCCACATCTCGGCAGGGGTGAGGCAAGGTCCCATGACAGAAAAGCAAGTAAGATGAGAGACGTGGCTGCAGCCGCCTTTAAAATACAACCTGCCACCCAGAGTGTCATCACTGTGATGGTCGTAACAGCCCCCACTCTCCGACCCCAGAGCCTGGATTCCCATTGCTTCCCCATACAGCCGGCAGCAGGGCAGGAACTGAGCACCGCCCTTCCTCACCTGTTCGTCTCCCAGGCCTTACTATCCTCAGGACCATTTTTTAAAGCCTCGTGCACCCAGCCTCTTGCACAATTCCTCACCCCAGCCCGAACGGATGCAGCCAGGACACATCTATCAAGCAAATTATATCCCCTGGGAGCAGCAGTACCAAGAGAGATAGATGTCCCTTCTCCAGCCACCAGCTCCTGCCTGAGAATCCAGACCGCGAGGCAGCTACACAGATGACATGGGTCTCAAAACGCAAATGAGGGTGGAGGCAGGCATGCGGTGAAATGGAAAGCTCTGGAGACATTAAAGGGTGTTCCCAAGAGAGCACGTGACAGGCCTAGAAACGTCTTTCTACGAGCTCTTTGGAAGTTTGGAAACTAGGAAACAGAAACCCTGCTTCCAGGTGAGGAGTTCAGGTGCGGCCTCCAACTGCCTGTTCCCAGGGCTCATGATGCAATGAGGACTCCGAGCAGGGTGTCAGATCAGCCCTTCCCAAACGTTAGCATGCCCAGGAACCAGCTGGGGGTCTCGTGTCTGCAGACACAGCAGGTGCAAGGAGGGGCCTGAGGACTGGCATCTCCAGCAAGCTTCCCGGTGCTGCTGGTGCTGCTGACCACGGATCAAACCTTGAGCTGCAAGAGACCAGGGTGTCAGCATCACCAGGAAGCTTCTTACAAATGCAGAATCTGAGGCTGGCCTGGTGGCATAGTGGTTGGGTTTGCATGCTCTGCTTCAGGGGCCTGGGGTTTGTGGGTTCAGATCCCGGACACAGATCTACACACAGCTCATCAAGCCATGCTGTGGTGGCATCCCACATACAAAACAGAGGAAGACTGGCACAGATGTTAGCTCCGGGACAATCTTCCTCAAGCAAAAAGAGGAAGAAAGGCAACAGGTATTTGCTGAGGGCCAATCTTCCTCACCAAAAAAAAAAAAAAAAAAAAGATTAAAAAAATGCAGAATGTTGGGCCCTAGCTCAGATCTACTGAACCAGAATCTTCATTTTTAACAAGATCCCTAGGGGATTCCTGTGAGCACTACAGCTGGAGACACAGCTCTCAGGGAAAGCCAGGGTTTCTCAGCTTCAGCCATTTAAGAACCAACTTGGCCAATTTCGCCTTATCCTCCCTCCACTTGTACTGTGACTTTTCTTTAGACTCTGTAAGCTAAACTCAGTCTATGCTAGAAGAAACCTCACGTCACTGTTTAATTATACAGTCGGCATTTCCTCCACAAACAGCTGGTAAACGTCAACATCGATGAAAACAAGAGTGCTGTTCAATTCTACCTCGATGCTGTGGCCTCTGAGCAGAGCCCTGTGCTCTCGGTGAGGGTCAACAGGACCTTCCCACACAGCTGGAAGGACGAAGACAAGTGGCAGGCGGTGAGCATGTCCTCTCCACGCCTGAGGAGTTCGGGGATCACACCCACGTACAATCTAAACTCACTTTGCAAAGCCCCTAAAATCACCTCGAGAACCACTTGTGTCATGGGAAAAAGC